TACAAGCTCTCCCTCCTCTGCGAGGACAGATCTACACGTTCCCCCCTCCCCCCAATAGCTAGCAATCCAAAACAGTCCAGTGGAGCCTGAGCGGTGGGTGTTGCCTTCTGACACACTTCTGGTGATGTCAGGGGGTGTGGCATATGCAAATAAGTTATGCTAATGAGCTCCTGCACCTCTTTTTCAACAGGAAGGAGGGCTCCAGAGCAAACTCATTTATGCACACAACTTTAATGCCGGTAACTCACAAAGTAGATCTTTTGCTCACAAGACTCCCCAGCTTAGAGGGCGCACTGGCTACAACTCAGCGGCAGAACAGGGGGTTTTGCATGGAGAAAATCCAAGGATCAGCCGTTCTGCAGGGGTCCGCTGGAGATGTCGAGGACTGAACCTGGGACCTTCTGCGTGCCCAGCACGTGCTCTTGCCCCCAAGGTACAGCCCTGCCTGCTCCCTTCTCGTGACGACGGCAGGTGAGGCTGAACAGAGGACTAGCAGAAGGTTTGGGGACCCCCCGAGAGCAGCATACATTCAGAAGTGGAGGGAAAGGATTCAGAAATTTTGAGAGACATTTGGCCAAGAGGGAAGGAAACATCGGTATGACGTCCCCTTTGGGAGGTTTCTACTTTCAAGCTCTCTCCGCCTTTGACATGTAGGCCCTTCAAGCGCTGCAATTCCTCTAGCTGTCCCTACAGGCAGTATTTTGCTAAAGGGTCACCCACCCCCGCAGCAAGCCACCCCTCCCACCCACTAATGTTCTAAGAAAAGGGACATTAGAGGCGATTAACACATCTGATCTCTCACCACCCATATTCATCCTGCCCCTCCCCATCGAGATGTATTACACCACTGAAAGACCGTATGGTCAATGCCAGGGGTCCTCTAACTTTTTTGAGCCCGTGGACACCTCTGGAATGCTGAGACGGTGTGGTGGGTGTAGTGTATTCAAAGCTGCCTTGAATGCATGACATGTGAAACATCTAACTGAACTGTAATGTTAAGCTTCGTCCTGGGCTAGGATCCAAATCTATCCAAATGTATTGCAAGCCCAGGAAGTAACAAGCCAATCACTTCCAGCAAGCTCCCTGAGCGGGAACTAATGTGATTGGACCTTATCTCTGCAACCTCATAGGTTGATATTTGTACAGTGGGTGTGGCTACATTAGCCGGGAATGTTTAAAAGCAGGACAGCTGCAATGTAAAGGCTGTTCTGGCTATCAGATGTTGATCCGTGTTGGAGTTGTGTTCGAGTTGAAGAATAAAGTTGTGTTCTTGCTGAATCACTCTCCGACTGCTTTGTTAAGCGAGCGACTTAACAGTGGGCACAACCAAAAAATGGCTGCTGCTGGAGATGGAGCCAACCACAAAATGGCCGCAGCCGGAGGCGGTGCGTCAACCACAAAATGTCAGGGAGTGAGGTCGCTCGTCAACATTTCAGGCAGAAGCTCTGTTTAACGGGATTCCTTTTAAAATGATTATCTCGCTTTAAAGTATTCCCTTGTGGATACACGGCTTTCTTTCAACCGTACAGTGAAGATTCTTGTGCTCTGGTGGCAGCAGCTGCCAAAGCAATTTAAAAAAAAAATCTGTCCAGGTCATCAGATGTCCAGTGGCCAATCAGAAGCCCTGCTGGACCCAAGCAGCACCCGTTTTCTTTGGTGGGTGCCATGGGGACCCTGTTCTGTGTCATGTAGGAGCCTCCAATGTCTTCCTCTGCAGTGCACAAACAGACTCACCAAGAATGAATACTCTTTTCCCACTTTTCCTGAAGAAGTAGAGATTGGATTTATACCCTGCCCGTCACTACCTGAAGGAGTCTCAGAGCGGCTTACAAACTCCTTTCCCTTTCCCTCCCCACAACAGATGCCCTGTGAGGTCGGTGGGGCTGAGAGAGCTCTTTCAGGACTGCTCTTGAGAGAACAGCTCAGAGAGAACTTGTGACTGACCCAAGGTCACACCAGCAGCTGCATGTGGAGGAGTGGGGAATCAAACCCGGCTCTCCCAGATTAGAGTCCGGGCTTCTTAACCGCTACACCAAACTGGCTCCTGCCCAAGATGCCCGGCTCAAAGATCTCCCACTCCTTTCCCCTGCTTTTTCCAAGGCTCGCAGAAAATTCACAGGACAAAGGTTCCTCTGCTCAGCCGATGTTGACTTCATCGACCTCCGAACACCTCCTCGACTGCCCGAGCCTTACCTCCAAGATGGCCCACATGGTGACCGTCACCGACAAGGGCAAGATGTAATAAGGGTCGGCGGCCGAGAGATCCGTGAACCACCACAAGCCTCCCGTCTGCAGGCTGGGCACGGGCAGCTCGGCCATCTTGCGCAGGGCGATGAAGAAGGAAATGAAAATGGGCGCCTGAGGAGAGGAGAGAAGGGAGGGAAGCCGTGATTCACGTGTGGGCATGAAGTCTACTTAAGGGACCACCTTTCCCCACATTTTCCCCCAAGAGCACTACGGTCGGGGTATCAAAACCTACTGGATGTGCCAGGTCCCCGGTCCATCAAACTTGTCACAACCAGAAATAGGGCGTTTTCGGTGGTGGCTCCTATCTGGTGGAATGAGCTCCCAGAGGAGATCAGGGCTCTGCGGGACCTAGCACAGTTCCGCAGAGCCTGCAAGATGGAGCTCTTCCGCCAGGCTTTTGAATAGGAGCCGCCATCGCCATTGTACCACCAACGCCCCATGATTTCTGTATGTGGCCATCATGATGCGGGCATCTTGGGTGAGAATGGGACGTTTTAGGGGACGGCCATCTTGTCTTTAGGAATCTGAATTGGAAGGGGTTCAGAGGAGCACCAAAATTGTTTATTACTTGTGATGTACTTTTAATATTTTGTATTGTTCTACTGCTTTATTCGGCGATATGCCTGTAAGCCGCCCTGACCCTCCAGGGAGGACGGGATAGAAATGTAAATAATAAATAAATAAATATGAAGTTGAAGTGAGGAGGGGGGCTGGGCAGCCAGTGTAGTGGGGGGGGGATGGGGGGAAGACGTGGACTTTGGGCACAAGGAACCCTCGCAGTGGGTTAACGTCGTGGGCTCTCTGGTAGAGGGTCAGATCCGAGTAAGCCTTTGCGACTGAGGAAGAAAAGAGGAATGATTTGGGGTGTGTGTGCAATACGGGGTAGCTACTGCAAATCTCCCCTGTACCAAACCCCTTCACCCCATCCCTATTGTCAGGCCCGCCCCAAACAAACTCCTGACACCTCAGGCACAAATTAGGGGCCTGCCTTCCTTGCAGGTGCTGTCTTTTTGCCACTTCCTGTGCGGGGCTCCGCCTCCCCGCTCTCCCCGCCCCATTCTCGGCTCCTCCCCCCTGCGGCTCCGCCCCAGCCACCCGAGCCTGACTTCCTCCCGTAAGAAATCAGGGTCCATCCCGACAGCTGTCGAAGGTCACGCTACTATGCCTCTTTCTTTCCACAGCACCCCGACTCGTCCCCTGCCCCCTTCCCTGGAAACTCACATTCAAACTGGTTCCCTGAGCGCTTGGCCTCGTTCATGCGGCTCGTCAGTGCGTTAATTTGCGGCAGGTGGTTGTTGAGCTTCATGGCCTCGCGCTGGCCTTTCACAATGAGTGGGAAAATCAAGCACCGCGCCGTCACTGTCCCTAGGGCATTGTGGGGGATAAGGCGAGAGGAGACATCAGTCCCTCCAAGGGATACGGCAACCATACTGATACCCGCAATGCAACCTTGGAGAGGGGAACTGTGTAGCGGTCACATAAGAACATAAGAGAAGCCAATGTTGGATCAGGCCAATGGCCCATCTAGTCCAACACTCTGTCATACAGTGGCCAAAAATACCCAGGTGCCATCAGGAGGTCCACCAGTGGGGCCAGGACACCAGAACATAAGAGAAGCCAATGTTGGATCAGGTCAATGGCCCATCGAGTCACACAGTGGCCAAAAATACCAGGTGCCACCAGGAGGTCCAGCAGTGGGGCCAGGACACTAGAAGCCCTCCCACTGTTGTCCCCACCCAAGCATCAAGAATACAGAGCATCACTTGCTCCAGACGGAGAGTTCCTATCTGTACCTTGTGGCTAATAGCCACTGATGGACCTCTGCTCCACATGCTTATCTAATTCCCTCTTGAAGCCGTCCATGCTTGTAGCCTCCGCCACCTCCTGTGGCAGTGAATTCCATGTGTTAATCCCTCTTTGGGTGAAGAAGGACTTCCTTTTATCCGTTCTAACCTGACTGCTCAGCAATTTCATGGAGTGCCCACGAGTTCTTGTATTGTGAGAAAGGGAGAAAAGTACTTCTTTCTCGACCTGCTCTATCCCACGCGTAATCTTGTAAACCTCGATCATGTCACCCCCCCCAGCCGTCGTTTCTCCCAGCTAAAGAGCCCCAAGCATTCTAACCTTTCTTCCAACCCTTTTATCATTCTAGTTGCCCTTTTCTGCACTTTTCTGTCACGCACAAGCTGGTTCAATACAACATTAATGACCTACAACCCACAATGGACAATGACAGTTTGGTGTAGTGGTTAAGTGTGCGGACTCTAACCTGGGAGAACCGGGTTTGATTCCCAGCTCCTCCACTTGCAGCTGCTGGATGACCTTGGGCAAGCCATAGTTCTGACAAGAGCTGTCATTGAAAGGGCAGTCCTCGAGAGAGCTCTCTCAGCCCCACCTGCCTCACAGGGTGTCTGTTGTGGGGAGGGGAAGGGAAAGGAGTTTGTAAGCCACTCTGAGACTCCCGAGTGAAGGGCAGGGTATAAATCTAATCTCCTCTCTTCTTCTCCCACAGGCACTGGGAGGCAAACCTTCTTTTGTCCACAGACACTCTCCTAACAAACAACTTCTCACTCACAACAGAGCTCTTCCTAACATGGCCAGGGACTCTGGGACCGGGGCCTGTGAACAACCGAGATGCCACACCTGTCTCCATATCCACTCCAACAGCACGATCACCAGCCCTACCGGCTGTGCCACCTGGGACTCCTTCACTCGCTCATCTTCCTGGATTACCCATGCCATCAAACGTCAGCAATGCCCTTCCACTCTCTACTGACGGACAAACCGGTCAGTCTCCTCACAAAAGAATATACAGATGTAAACCCAACATTTAAAAACCACAGCACAAAGGCCACTGGGATAACATTTTAGAAGAAGAAGAAGAAGAAGAGAAGATTGGATTTATACCCCACCCTTCACTCGGAGTCTCAGAGTGGCTTACAAACTCCTTTCCCTTCCCCTCCCCACGACAGACGCCCAGTGAGGTAGGTGGGGCTGAGAGAGCTCGGACAGAAACTGCTCTTTTTGAAGAACAGCTCTGCCAGAACTATGGCTTGCCCAAGGTCATCCAGCAGGTGCAAGCGGAGGAGCGGGGAATCAAACCCGGTGCTCCCAGATTAGAGTCCGTGCACTTAAACCACGACACCCAATTTGTACTTGTACCCAGAGTTTAGGTAATGAAGTTATTTCTGGTTTTTTTCCTACATCGTCTTTTTAAAAAAGCTCATCGCTACCTAGTCTATGGTGGCGTTACCCACAATGCCAAAGGCTTCACCCTGCTCTTTCGGCTGGTGGAAAGGCAGGTCCACATTCCTCTCCCCTTCGGATTCCTGCAGTCCCTTTTACCTGCCACGATGGCTCCCCACCAAGGTAACCCCACGTCCACGTGGAGGCACTCCAACAAGTTCTGGATTAGGCCCACTGGGGTGTAGGAGCCGAGGCCCAGTTCCTGAAAGCTGAGCTCCTGTGCAACCTGGCCAAGGTCTCCCACGGAGAGAGCGCTCTCCGTGGGTGGAGGGGCAGGAGGCAGGGCAATCTGAAGAAGGAAAATGAGAGGGGAGACAAAATTAACCTCATGAATAATGAGATGGGAAAAATATTGAAATGTACATTTAAGAAGGAACCAGAAGTATTACTCTTGGGACTTAAAATGGAAGAAGTGAATATAACAAAGAGGACTTTGATGTGGTACTTGATTACAGCTGCTAGAATGACTTCTGCTCAATGTTGGAAACAAGAAAAAACACCGGAGATTTGGGAATGGATAAAAAAAGTTACTTTTTATGGTTGAAATGGACAAACCGACAAGGAAACTTAAAAATCAGGAGGCGGAAGAATTCTTTGCTGAATGGAAGGACTTTAAAGAGTATCTGGAGAAACACTGGGATGTGAAAAACAATTTATTTTGCTTTGATAACTATTAAGGTTATAAGAACTGTGAAGTAGTTGAAAGTATAGAAATATTAGTTTAAGATAATGTTACCTGATAGATGTAATGATAAAACAATGGATAAGTGAGGAGAAAATGGAAAATTTGGATGGGAGGTTAGAGCACTGCGGGAAGCCTGAAGTAGAGGGGGGGAGGATAGGAGGGAAAAAGGGGAAAATGTTTTTAAGTTGGAAATCATATTATATCCTGATAATAAAAATGTTTGACAAAAAAAAATTAACCTCATGAATCCATCCAGGTGCCCTAATCGGCAAGCTCTCCCGATGCCCCTTTGCAATTCTCAGTCCTTCATGTCCTGAATCTTAAAAACAGGCTCTTTACCTGTGCCCCTGCGACAGCAGCTGTGCTCTGGCATCGAATCGCCGGCCTTGATAAGAGAGCCTGACAGTCACCTTGGAGGCTCAGACGAGGGGCGAAGGGAGCTCTCCGTCGTAGCCATGTGAGTGGCACGGATGTCTTGTGGACCTGGAAAAAAGGTTGTGAGAATCAGCACCCCCCGTAAATCCACAGGTAGAAAGATGGCTCTTGCTACCAATAAGCATTTGGCGTTTGTGACGCTGAATGTGTTACCAGCTCCCCACACCCCAATCTGAGCGGTGGGATCTATCCCAGGTGCTATAGGGTTCAGAGGGACCAAATCCTCCATCCTCAGACGACGGCAGCCTCTGATCCTCTGTAAATGCCCATGGAAGACTCCCAATGCAGATTGTTAGATTATTATTTAGATGATCAGATTTGTTATTTAGCAACTCCAATGCAATCAAGCCATCCAAAGTGCAATTCAAGATTAAACTGTAATTAACAGCCACCTGATCCCCCCCCCAAAAAAAGATTTACATTTACAGAGTGCAAAGGAAACCATTTGCCTTTTGTGAAATTTCTAAAAGCAGAATCTGTGTCCAATAGGAGTCGGGTATCTTTTACATATTTTGGGAGGCAAGGGATGGCGATCCATGTGACTCCTGAAGAATGCTTACATATTTTAGGTAAAGGGCAAAGGTTTCCCTTGCTCGAACGCCAGTCGAATCCAACTCTAGGGATGCGGTGCTCATCTCCGTTTCCAAGCCGAAGAGCCAGTGCTGTCCGAAGACGTTTCCGTGGTCTTGTGGCCGGCATGACTAGATGCCGAGGTGCACGGAACGCTGTTACCTTCCCACCGAAGTGGTACCTATTTATCTACTTGCAATTTCTTGCTTTCAAACTGCTAGGTTGGCAGGAGCTGAGACCAGAGATGGGAGCTCACTCCATCATGCGGCACTCAGGTCTCTAACTGCCGAACTACCGACCTTCCAGTCTGCAGTTTAGTGTCTTAACCACTTGAGCCACTCTGGAAAGGAGCATCCTTTCTTTCTGAAGTCACTGGGGTCGACTTGCCTTCTAGGCATTTTGGAAACTATTTCTTTAACAGGGAAAAGAGCGAGACAGGTCCCTTTGAACATCTCACATGGAAAATGTGGCACGTAACATTTCACATGACATTTTGCCATCCCTCAATGATCCCTCCTTCCTACCTAATGTTTTACCTTTTGTATATATTTTAACTTTTTAAAATAAGGTATGTTTGGGACAGGGATGTATTTAATGGTTTCATAATGTATTTTTGTCATGTACATTTTAAATCGTTAGCTGCCTTGGCAGCTCCGGTAAGGACAGAAAGGGAGGATGCAAATTTTGCAAATGAATAAATATTTCCGAAGCGCACACAAATCTAGCACTGGCTCTGACAACATGAGCATGCAATGTCTACTCCCCCACCCGCTGTTTATTTTTATTTAATAAAACATCTATATCCCACCTTTCCTTGTGGTTCGAAGTGGCTTACAATAATAACAATAGCTTTAAAACGTTTTCAGGTGACCCAAAATAAAGCCGCAAGCCACACCTGCCGTTTTTCAATACGTTCTCCTCCTTCCAAAGTTGCCAGCCAGTTGCCTGCACGTTTTTTTGTGTGGCGGAGGGAGGAAGACGGATCTCCAAAAATACCGAAACAAGACTTCAAAATGCTCAGCGGAGAGGGCTCCTAACCAGTGTTCCCTCTAAGCTGAGTTAGTGTGAGCCGGCTCACGGTTTTTCTAGCCTCCGGCTCACACATTTTTGCCTTCGCTCAGGAAGGATGGGGCTCCAGAGCAAACTGATTGATGCAGCAGCCAAATGGCTCGCTCACAGCTTTAATGCCAGGAGCTCACAAAGTGGAATTCTTGCTCACAACACTCCGCAGCTTAGAGGGAACATTGCAGTCCTAACCACAATTGTAAAGTGCCTTTCCCGACCGTGTTTCCCGCGTCGTTAGCAGCTGCAGAACAGGAGGCTGCAGGAATCCAACCGGTAAAGCTTCCCCGTGCAAGGAGATGCGGCGGAAGGGAAAGCTTCGCTTGCAAGCAAGGGGGTGGGGGGAGGCGACGCCAAAGCGCGTGCCAGCCCCCGGGTCCCCATTCGCAAGGTCATGACCTCTGGGCTAGAAGGAAAGGCCGCGCAGCTGCAGGAATCCAACCGGTAAAGCTTCCCCGTGCAAGGAGATGCAGCGGAAGGGAAAGCTTTGCTTGCAGCAAGGGGGTGGGGGGAGGCGACGCCAAAGCGCGTGCCAGCCCCCGGGTCCCCATTCGCAAGGTCATGACCTCTGGGCTAGAAGGAAAGGCCGCCCCCCCCCCCCCCCCTCGCTTCCGCACGAACCTGTCTGCGATAGCAGCAGGGGGGTGGGGGGAGGCGACGCCAAAGCGCGTGCCAGCCCCCGGGTCCCCATTCGCAAGGTCATGACCTCTGGGCTAGAAGGAAAGGCCGCGCACCCCACCCCCCCCGCTTCCGCACGAACCTGTCTG